GATTGAAATTATTGTAACTCTACAATAAAAAAGATAAGATACAGTAAATTCAAGTCACTCACAAGTTTTTTCCACATTAGATTCTTTTGAATTGTCTTCTTTTATCAACTTCCTATGAAATTTAAAATTAGTGACTGTGAAATTGAATGATTATTCGAAGATCAGGTCAATTGAAATCGGGTTAAATGGTAGCAAAATCAATATTATAAGTTTTTTTAAATAATAGTTTTATCTTTAGGCCAAGACCATTTGATGCCATCAATATTCAATATACGGAGTAATCAGCCTTATTTACTCTTAATATGAAGATGTGGCAATAAACTTAAACATACATAAATCAGGTACAAAGAAAGTGCATTCAAGTGCATATTACTATTAGTTTAACGAGGGGTATAAAAGTAAACAAACACAAGATATGAAGGGGCCATATGTTTAACTTTAAAAAGTGTGAAGTGTGAACATTAAAAGTAAACAATCAGTTTCCCCCGTATCAATATAATTCTAAATTGGTCGTCCCCGCCGGAGCATTTGGTTCTCCTGGCAGTTTTTTTCTGGAATCGCCTAATTGTGTGTAATGGTGTAAATATAGTTTTTAAACACCAATCACATAACTCAATACAGGAAGTTTTTAACGTCATTGCACACAAAATCAAGCTTGGGAAATTGCACAACATGGCATAACTTAATGAATAATAAACGACATAGGGCCAAAATAAATTAACGGTGAACATTGAAATCAACTAAATAAACACCGCAACTTGGAACTTTGTGCGAACACTGTGATACACAGTCCACACACTATAAATATCTCCGGGATTTCGACGCGGGATCATATTATCACTCAGCCCGGCCCGCTGTTAGATAAACATCTCAAGGTGATATCATCCCGCCCCGGAAATTTGTATAAACCCGGCCCGCTTTATAGTCGTAACTGATGTTTATCATTCAATTCTCCGACTTACAATAATCAATGATACTGCTGATTTAGAACTCGATAATAGTAGAACAGTTAGACGCGCGATCACGTGGGCGCGTCACGTGCGTACCACGTGCCACCAATAGCATACGCCGAGTCTATACCACGTGACACGAAAGCGCACCACGTGATATGAAACATCGTAACCGTCCACTTCTTTTACACGCAAATTCCTGGGAACGTTGCCAAAGCAGCTAATTCTTGGAATTTTTCCAACGCGTGGCGTGAGAAGTTGGCGACTAGCCAGCTACCCTTGTCCGTGCCCTAAAAATAGTATTGTTTTGCTTGCTCTCCTTCCAGCTCTTGTTCCTGCTAACGTTCAAGCTATTGCTCCACTATGACAGATCGGTTTGACATTCAGATTGATGAACTGCTTTCCAATCGTGTTCCGGACAGTACAGTTAGAGTCGTATTCCGAAATAAAAACTATTTTATCACTCTCTTCTAAAGTATAAATCCCTTGTCGAAATCGCCGGAGATAATTATAATCCATAAACACTTCACGCTCAGGGCTAAATAAATGTAATCCCTCAGCTGGCGCTTCGGGATTACATATTAACACAAAACTCGTGCGCTGCGCGCACTCGTATGTGTTTATCAGATCATCCCGCTAGCGCGGGATGATCTGTTATATAAACCCTTTGCGTGGCGGGTTTATGTTATTATAGTTCCCCTCTCCCATTGCTTGATTAGATCTGTAATGGTCTTCTTGGTTTTCCAGAGCGCAAGGCTAGGAAAACCAAATATAATTACGACTAACGTTGGAGTACCTTTTTTGTTCTCGGTGGTGTTGACTGTTGAGATTTACGAAAATAGCTCACGAAGCCGGAAGCGCCCGAGAAAACACACCATAAACCATTCCTAAGAATTGGGGCCCGTAGAGTGATCTAATAATGTTTTAAGAGGGCCGGCACTGTGTATGATACACTGAATCACATTCAAACTTCTCGGAGAGATGTATCAGATGATTAACTTACTTGAACATTTTGACAGCGAGCGGAAATTACTAAGTTTTCGACCAAATGGTTTTTGATTTTTATTAGACCGAGCCATTTTGGTCTCCCCCATATTGGTCTTCGGTTAAACTAACTTTATCTTGCTTTAAGACTATAACAATCCCGGTTACCTATAGGGCACAGCGTGGAAACAAGATCCTAAAACTGATTTATGTCTTTTAGAAATATTAGAACAGGCATGTGCTAAAATCAGTTAGAATAATTACCCGTTATAATCTTACTATATATAAAGCGAGACGATATATATATATATATGGATCCGTGCCATTTTACTGACACCACGGCATCAACTTTAACGCAACTTTCCGCAAAAACTGTAAAAGACATACAACTGAAACTTTTTTGACTGGTTCAAATGCTTTTATGCTTTTCAAATCAGCATGAAAAAATAAAAAATAGGCCATGAAATAAGAATTTAGTGCCAAAAATTTGGATCCCCAAGCGATTTAAATAGGTGATAATTATTTAGGTCTCTTGAGTCTTGACACCACTTTAGGGTTATACGGGTTCCTGCTAGTAGAGAATTAAAGTAGCGCACGTTACTATGGAAATTATTTCGTCAGCCAATTTGAATCATGGGCAAACTGATCAGTTCGCACAAAAGTAGAGAATAACAAAACTATTATCATTGCGCGCCGTCATCCCGCCTTAAAAACAAACGTCCCTCACAGTAATTCCATATGAAATCACCAGAGATCGGAATTAAAATCTCATAAACGTGACGTGAAAAGACACTGTTGACATTGTTCTAACTTAGTTTTGGGTACAACGTGGATGAGGCCCTGACGTCACAGTAAACAAACACGCACGACCCCACCATATTCTCAACTAACGACAGAGGGAGCTGAATTCCAGGTAATCAAATATCGTAATATAAAATACTCTGGAGGATTAAAATATCATAATCGATAGTAGGAAGATGTATTATGTTTATAGAGACGTCAATGGAGTAAACAAAAGCTTCCGTTTTCATAGTCACTGAGTAGGGCAGGACTTGACCACGTATAAGCTCCAATATCACTTGTTCAGTTGATCATTGGCAGCTTTGATATCAGATAATCAGAATATGTCGGGTTCATAAATGACCACACTTGGGTCGGTACTAAGTACTAACTCATGAAATCGGGAGTAAGCTATAAAGGTTGTGATTTCCAGAATATAGTAGTTGTAAATAATAAGCAGTACATATTATTTCAGGATTCAGCCAATTTTGTTTATAAATTCGATTCACGGCCATATTATTTAAAAAATCTGATGAGTGATATTGACGTAGATAAAAAGATTTGCGTTACATACAGTGGCTATGACAAACGGTTGAATAATAATATTCTCATGGGGGGGGGGGGGGGGGGGGGGGGGGGGGGGGTCATATACTCTTGATTCTTTTGAGGAGACAGACTGAACGAGGGCTCCGTCCTTTTAAAATATAAATATAAATCTGTAAATATGACATTTGTCGTCTAGCGTCTAGCCTTATAATTAGATAATTAATTTATACGATATTGATGATTCAAGAGAATGACAGATGTTAAATGTTTATCAGTTTGACGTCCTCTGACCGCTGAAGAAAGCTGTTAATTTAAGGGCTTGTCGGGAAGCAGCAAATGAGGGAAAAGTAACATATGTGTTATTTTGTGACAGTTGGTAAGGAAGTGATGAAGTAAAGCGAAACATACAGGAAACTAAGGAATAATAAAAGTGGCAGTGATATCGGAACTGTATTTATACTTGACGTAGGTGCAATGTGCATTACCAAGTGCTGTTATGCACGTTAGATGCTGGTCAATTGTATTATTGCACGTCATCATTGTCCGCATAATCTCACGATTGCAAGCAACCTCTGGTAGACAACATAAAGGGGTGACGTCAAACTTTGAAATTGTGTCGACAAGCAAGAAAACTGTCCTCTATTGTACGTGCTCACTGTTTTCTAGATGAAGAATGCAACCTGGAGCATAATAAACCAATCTGTCTGCAGTAAATGATTCGAGTAAACATATCTATCTAGAAATATAGAAATATAGAAAACAGAACTCTGTAAGTCGAACGGTTGCTATCTAGGTAGGGTAAACACTAAACATTGTTGCTGGGAAGAATCATTAGCTAGCTTATGGATTGTTAACTCGTTACTGAATATATATTAGCAATCATCTACTTTACTAATGCTCTAATGTAAATGATCCGAAAGCTGTCTACGCATGTACGTTTGATATGCATTTTTATCCATCTGCAAACAATTTGAAAAGGTCAGAATATGAGAAAACAGGAGAATGAAGCCACAAGAGAAGATGCAAATGATAAACAAGAATGAAGGATGAAGTAAGCTTCCCCTCTATTAATTAAAGTAGGATGATTACATTAATGATCTTATGATTGAATCTCTAAGAAATTTTCGGTTTCAGTTAATGATTTAAAAGATGAGCTTACCTTCTTCATCATCATTAAGTAAACCAACAACGTAAGGCGGCGTCAAACGAGCAGCCACATACTCATCGACCACGCACATGCTCATCTTTGCTCCTTCAATCTCTGTCTTCTTCCTCTTTTCATCTCCATGACGCGGACGTGATGATGTGTATTGAGCAGTCCCATTAACGAAAGCATGTGGCTATTAAAAGTTTCATGGTTAGTGTTATTCTATAGGAAATTTCATCCGCCATCGTGTTAAATTTTTATTGAAATCATAACTTCATGATATAGCTTGTTAACATGATTAGCTTTCATAAAGAAATGATGCTTCAACAAGTATAAACACTGTTAACTAATTATAGTTTGAGAATTAAGTGAGATCATTCATAAAATAAAGGTTATTTTCTGTCTCTGCTCTGTTCTATAATCTCTAAATGAAACAAGTTGTATTATCAGTACAGTGAACTGACAAAATGGGGCAATTTGGGAACTTTTGTACAAACAACGAATATTTACATCATTTTAATTCTGAATCAATAGAGATTGTATAAACACTTTCTTACAAAAAGTTCAGTTATCCTTATCAAACTAATAAATAAGTGACATGATCTGGAATTAAAGAGTCGAATAATTTATGAAACCTCCAAATACAGCAGCGCAACAGTAAGTTTATAAACAGGAGGAATTGGAGAAAAGGTCGACACTTAACAGGGCTAAATAGTTAAATTAATAATGTAATGATGGTAATTCAATCTGCATCCAGCAACTGTTCTTAGGCTTTAATGATCAGACTTTCGTAGATGTATGGCGCTGTTATAATGTCACAGTAATCACAAGCAGGAGTAAAGCATGGAGTTGTTAATTGTGAGAATCTGGGGTTTTTATTCAGTACCGCTGAATGAAACTGATATTGAAATCATTTGACACTAAGAGGGACTGTTCGGATCCATTAAAAGTTTAAAATCATATTTCTGAGATGGTTGGCGGTCCCCTCTGGAAGGTTCCTATGATGTACAATTTTCAAAGGTTACTGGGTTTGGTGGTTGAGAACCAAGGGTTAACTGAGGAGCTTCCGTCCCTTTGTTAATCTGAAAATATAAATCACCATAAAGTCATTTATTTATTTTATAAATTAAGCTACAAATTTAACCAATAGCGAGGATGCAATGAGTAAATGAACCCCTGTGAGACTTATTAAAGTTACTCCGCAGCATTTGCAATTAAGAGTAGTTCCACTTTCATTCACTTGGTTATCAAGTTAAGGTTGCAGAGTCCTGATTCATAAGTATCAGAACCATTAACCTGTCTTTCTGTTTTACCACTGGGGAACATTGCTCTTTGAAATATTCGCTGAAAATTTTCTACATTTCAATAAGTGTAGTTGAAACTCGGTAGCTTAAAATTTTGTCCAACCAGACATCTTCTTGCTTGCATTTCCTTAATCGGGTATTATTTAAAGTTAAACATAACAGTAGGAGGAATCTAGCTACTTTAAATTTAGAATTGTGAGATCCCAATAAATCCTCGTAGGTTCGAAATACGAATCTCTACATAAAATGCTGTTGCTGCTCCCGTATATTCATGTTAGCTTACAATGAGGTTTCCCAGTGAACACCAACACTACAAACATTAGTTAGACACGTTAACCATTAACCTCATCACTCAGCAGCCCCAATAGTCGTCATACTTACAAGATGTCACTATCTACTTTCTGTTAACTTTCTGTCGTGCCACGCCACGATATGAAGATGGATAGTAAGTAAAACACCGCTAGAAATGAAGATTGTGAAGTTGACAGGTAGCCCCCTTGGCGTGATCTTGATTTCAAAGACATGGCATTTTTTAGTGACAGCTGGACAACGGGAGAACTCAAATCTCTCGAATGTTATTCTGATGACGTATATACAGCAATTCTTATGAACCGATTTTTATAGACGAAAGTACATGAAAGTTGTCACTTTACGGACCGCTGATTGCTGAATCGTATCGATATTGTTTCACGTCTTATATTCTGGTTCTGGGTTCGGTGTCACTTTTTCTGTATGAGCTACAATTTCGAGCTCCACCTAAAGTGCAAATTTCTTTGTTCTTATGGGTATTGACCTGCCAGAGTGACAGATGAAGAAGTAATAAGCGACTAAATTTTTATTGTTTTATTGGTAGGTACTGAATCTCGTATTACTAAAAGTTTCTTTTATTGATAGTAAAATTTTTATTTCACAAAAGGTGACCAAAGCTGTTGTTATATAGACATTTCTTTGACTCTCCATGATTTCTCATTCAATAGCATATATTTAGATATTTAAAAGGATGTTGCATTTATTTAGAAATGGAGTCACACAAGAAGTTTCTTGCAAATGATGACGCTCAAACTTTCAAGGTAGTTCAAGGATAGTTGTGCAGTAATATTCTTTTAAACTTGTGCAAAATGAATAGCGAATTCGTATAATAATCTGTTGTAGTAACTTCAGCCAAAAGCCTGGGAATACGTTACTAGCTTTCACACCGTTACAACTTCAACGGGGACTTCAACTAAAGATGAAAATCCGTTTAGATTAGATTTTGTCTAGAACATTATTTGCATGCAACTTAACTGGTATTCTTTCCGACTGAACGACAATCTGCATTTGCTATCCTCATTTCAATTTTTAAAATCTTATCGTTCTTATCATTTCCTATAAGTCTTAAAAGCATGATTTTTAATCAGTATTACTAGTAGGCACGAAAAACACAAAAATTTGGGATAGTTAAATTATAATTAATGACTGCGAGAAGTAAAAATACTAAAGGCACCTAATCATCCGAAACGTACATGATTATTAAATATTACTATTTGCTATGTAAATATGCATATATTAAACAAAGAAAAGTATTGAAACAGAATTGAAAAAAGTTTAAATATCAAACTGCTTATAATGGTGCTGATAATCTAAACAAATACTTTCTCCTTTTTCAACACTCAATTCATTATTAATTTTATGAATAAACTTTTACCTCTTCAGTAACTGATATCAAAAGACTCGATCTCTCATTGCATAATTTATTTAACTTAAAGAAGGGATAGTAACTCTATAGAAATAATCAAGCTTGATTGAGCATTGTATTTTAGATACATGGACTGGACATGCCAAATATCACATGAGCCCAAGTGCCAGAATCTCCTCCTGTGAAACACGTTTTTATGAGTGATGACGTGAGAGGGGGTGATGATGTGACGGTGATATGAAGGATGAGAAAGTGTTATCACAAGGAAATCAGTTCTTCTCAACCTCCTGGCGAAACATGAGTTAAAATTATATTAAAAGGGTCAAAAGCAGCCCTATGAATGGCATGTCTTGTACTATTATAAGCAGGTGGGTTTCTGTAATTTTAAATGTGCATATAATATTTTGGTTCCGTTATTGACTACTAGCGTTGAATAAAATTCAATGAATTTACCAATTACCAGTTTGGTAAAATTTCCGGAGCTTGGCCATCATGTGTCCCAAATTAACGTTTCAACTTGCTACAGCAATTATCTCTCGTCCTTAAATTTTGTTCCTGTTAACCTATCTCTCCTTCCCAAATCCCATACAACCCTTCAATAGAGCCGTGCTCTTGATTACAAGAGTTGCAACCTTCCTCCCACCAAACCCTGATAGATCCTGGCTGGAGCCTTTAATCAAATCAAGAAGCAACTATCAACCGATAATTGTCTTATGCCCTGTAATGAAACCAAATACCAATTAATAACAAATATTTTGTATCTCGAGAGCCATTGTGCAAGATTTATGATAAAATTTGTTCGCATTTCATTTCTTAATTTTCTGTTTTTTATTTGCCAGGTTACCAAGGCGAGATTAGGAATCAAACAGTTATCCTGTTAGTAAGTATCCCCAAAGAAGATAGGAACTGAAACGGAAGATAGGAACTGAAACAGATTTTACCGTTTTTAGTACTAGAAATATTTATGGACTAAAATTAAATATCCCTTAAATGTAGTCACTAGGGCAGTAGTGTTCTTCGTTTTCCCCCATACTACCCGCAGGCCGCAATGGTTTTTCTAAAGCCAGTAAACCAGAGAACTACTTATTATCAGGTGTGTAGAAAGGAGCTAAAAAACGGTAGGCCCACTTTTGGCCGCAGCACTTATCATAATTAATCATGTTGAAACTTCCGACATGATTCAACTTGAAGGACTGCTATCTTAATAAGACTAGTGAACTCAGTCACCTGGCGAGTCACCTAGTACGTGAAATCAAATCAAATAATGTGTAATCACAAAACCACGTACCACACATAGGAACACTAATCTCAATCACGACCACGGGCACTAAACTGCACATAATTTAAAGGATTCACACAATATTCAGAGATAGTACAGTCGGCTAGGACACATTTTGCTCTTCATTAACCTTATCACCTATAGAGGTAGCGCGTCTCTATTTCGTGCGCTCCCAGTGATACTGAGTGGTCTACAATATAAATATTGGGTAACTAGTCTATACATACCACCTTTAATAACTTCTCAGAGCACTTAAGCAATCCCAGTATTCTAGTTTTTTTTCTTCAGACAACCGTGTTTATTTACCAAAACATTTTTTCCGAACAACAGTGACTGTTTTGTCGTCCAATCACATTCTGTTGCAAAAAACATATTGCATAACAATTTAATGAGTTTTTCGTTAAAGTGATTGGTGGTGTATCCTATGGATGGCGGAGCATTAGGAAAACCCCTTCAAGAATTAAGCCAGGAATATTTTGATAAGATAATATCGTAAAGTCATTTAAACGGGCGATACCCGTACAATATTTATTTGAAACATTGTCGATGAGTTGCAAAGCAATTCAACGCGGGCTTTAGTAAGTTATAAACCTACAACTTACAAGGGCTCATTAGAAAATGAAAGTGATAGATATGCTTTATAACAGTCTATAAGGATAGTAACTGAGACAAGTGCCATGATGTGTATAATACCTGTATTATAATATAATAATACCTTGGCTACTGAGTGATGAGCGCGATAATTCCCGACAGCTTGCTGGAGGGAACGCGCGGGCACGAAATTGCCAAGGTATTATGTATTATAATACCTTCCGGGAATTATATCCACTAAAAGTCTCCGACACTGAGAGCTGATAATTTGCCGATATATCCCGCAAGGGAAGCCAAGGTATTATCAGCATAGACCTCAGACTGGCTGGCGGCAAGTTGTAAAACAAATAACACTGGCGTTCTATATATATTAGACACTATATTGTATCATGCGCACGTATCGGATTACACCCCTTCCAATTCGGAACCGGAAAATATTATAATACATAATACCATGGCAATTTCTCAGCACTCAATAGCCAAGGTATTATTATATTATATTTTATTTTATTATATTTTAATACTTGCCACCAGCCAGTCTGAGTCTATGCTGATAATACCTTCGCTTCCCTTGCGGGATATATCTGCAAATTATCAGCTCTCAGTGTCCACGAGTTTTAGTGGATATAATTCCCGAAAGGTATTATAATATAAACGATTATTACATTGTACATGCGCCAAACACCACTCTGGGATACAATAAAGTAAAACAATTTGAATTACATTGTATGCAGCTAGTAGGGAAATTTGATCGTGCGTGGTGTTACCGCGGTGAAATTCTTGTTGAGACATGGGTCGGGGAGCCGCTCTGGCAATATGGACCTTTACTCCTTCATAATGCACCTTTAATGCATAATGTTTAATGATGATATTGTCGATACAGTCGTGGTATTAATTCTGTTTTGTATTTCATTCCCTGCACTACGGGCGATGTTATCATAATATCATGTTCTTCTTCTAATGAAATCATTCCGAAGAACAACGCTATATAACACAGGTAAGTTAAAGCTTATCTGTTATCTTTTAGCGCTACCAAGGCCAAGGGTTGACTGCTTTATCAGCCTTGTTTGATTGAAGAATCTTGTCGACTATATCGGTTGGTGAGCCAGTTATTTGTTTTAAATATATTTTGATAAAAAACTTACGTCTTTTCTGAGCCTGCTTCTTAGTCGCTCTGCTGGCAGGTTTAGATGCTGGCGTGGCAGCTGCAGCCGCAAGAACTTTCGTCTTCTCCTCCTCCAGCTCCTTTTCCAAATCCACTACTCTCCCTGAAAAATAGTGTGAGCCATTATATCTCAGCAGAAATGTGCGGGACAGGAATATCGAGGGCAATAGATTAGACAACAATAACTTGACGAATTTCTTGGAATAAATAAACCAATAAATTCCTGTTCCAATGATATATTCCGCAATAAAAAAACAGTATAAGATCACCCACCAACCACATTATCTAATGATATCTTTAGGATTTCAGTTTAACTCATGTTCGCAACTCTATTTAGAAGTAAATCGGAACAGAATTCGCTTGAATTTACCCTCCAGAAATTATAATCCTGATCAACCGCTGACCAAGTAGCGCTGTGCAGGAGGTTTTACTAACCTTTAGCAGAGGCACATATTAGGTGCGATGGGTGCGGGATCGCACAATTTATCGGTTTCCGCACATTTCCGCATAATTTATTGTTTTCCGCACACTTCCGCACATTTTGTAATTTTTTGCGTATTTCCGCATAATCTGGCATTTTCCGCGTAATTTCGCATAATTTTGAAATTTTCGCGTTAAGATTTTTGAGTGTAAAAACCAAAATATGTTAAAAGTCGGGCCCTTTTAGGACCGTGACTCAGGCCCTTTTAGGACCGTGACTCAGGCCCTTTCGGGTCCGTGACCCAGGCCCTTTTGGAACTCATACCTAGGCCACGTGACCCAGTTACCACGTGACCCAGGCCCTTTCGGGACCCTGACCCAGGCCCTTCCGGGACCGTGACCCAGGCCCTTTCGGGACCCTGACCCAGGCCCTTTCGGGACCGTGACCCAGGCCCTTTTGGAACTCATACCTAGGCCACGTGACCCAGTTACCACGTGACCCAGGCCCTTTCGGGACCCTGACCCAGGCCCTTTCGGGACCGTGACCCAGGCCCTTTTGGAACTCATACCTAGGCCACGTGACCCAGTTACCACGTGACCCAGGCCCTTTCGGGACCCTGACCCAGGCCCTTTCGGGACCGTGACCCAGGCCCTTTTGGAACTCATGCTTAGGCCACGTGACCCGGTTACCACGTGACCCAGGCCCTTTCGGGACCATGACCCCGGCCCTTTCGGGACCGTTACCCAGGCCCTTTCGGGACCGTGAACCAGGCCGTTATGGAACCCTCGTCGTTACCGTACTTCGATCATACCTGCAGCCCTTTTTATCGGGTAATGAGCTCTATTCGTTGGACGTTGTAGCGTTGGCTTTATAGTGGGCTTAATGGATCTTGGATCAAATGGTTTACTTAAGTACTGAAGATCAATGCCAACAAGCGTGTCACATATTTGCGATCACGCATGGGATCTGATCGACTCTATCAAAAGGCGTCTTCAAATAACTGTTTCCTAATCTCTACCAGATCAAGTCACTGTTCTCAGATAACTGAATCTCAATATAGGTTCAATCATGGTCTTAGTAAAGAACTACACCGTCAGTAACACATAAGACCTATTTTTGATAAGAGCGGCGGTTATACGTTTAGAATTTACTAAGTCCTTCAGAAAATGCAAAAGAAAACCGCACAATTCCCGCACAAATTTCAAAAAAATCGTCGCACATTTGCCGCATAATTGGTAAAAATTTACCGCACCTTACCGCACATTTTACCTTTATAGTCGGGTGCGGTACCGTATAATTTCGATTTTTTTACCGCACCTAATATGTGCCTCTGACCTTTAGTATTGGAGAGTTCCAGTTCAAGTTCGGCAACCTTTTCCTCTGCCGTTTTCGCCCGCGTTACTGTGTCTCTGAGGAAGATAATTCTCAGCTCTTACAAATAGATGCCCAATGTTTCCATTAACCAAACAAACGGCCTTTCCATATAATCATCATTGATTAACCGTCCTTATCAAGGTATTTATTATTAGAACTTTATGGTAATCTAATTTGCTATGGATTGTAACTTTGTAAAGAAGTTACAGGTTAAAGAATCAATATTTTTCGTGGTCTTTCAAGTTTTTATCTATGATTCTGTTTTTTTGGAAGAGAGTTGTCAACTCTGCGAACAGTTAGTATATTTCTAACAGATATTTAGTTGTATCCTCTTTTCACAGGTTCTTTAAGGGCCTACTCCAGTCTCCACGTTAGATGCAATATCGAGGGCTAAAAAGTCTAACAATAACTACTATTTGTTCAGCTTCTTCTCATGAAAATGCTCAACAATATCATAAGAAATATTGGATAACGGTGGATGGGGTAGTGTTGTTAACTCATATAATAGTGATAGAGTCCTCTACATCACTCCTTTGTACTTCTGAACACCCGCGGAAGTTTTATATTCATCACTAGATTGTGCCTACAGTACTACTTAATTCTAAGGTAAAGTTCGTAACGGTGACGGTTTCATTAATCAATCTGTTTACTCGTACAGCTGTATTATAGCAAGCAGTGAATATCGACTGATAAAGTGCACAATAGTATGCTTATGGACATGTTCATAGTTTGAAATCCTTTTAGAAAGCAACATTTGACATTAAAATGTCTCACAGTTCAGTTCATCTTGATAATGAAGGGAGGGAGGAGGTATATACGTATACCAGGCTTCTAGGGGCATGATCCGGTAAACTTTGGCAAATTAAAGTGAAATTGTTAATATTTAGTCTGGTTATACACAAATCATCCGTTATTTTAAAATAATTTTTACAGGACCGTAATTATCTTGGCGAGGAAAACGTTTAGTAACAAAGTTATTATATTTGAAGTAACAAATTAAAAAAATTGTATACTTTATATGGAATTTATACAAGGGGGACCCTTGTTCCAAATGATATCTACATAAATTCGAGATGAATATTGAATTCAATTTACCCATCATTTAAGGCTGAAACTTTGTAAAATACAGATTTTTCTAAATTTTTAATTCCAAAATGGCATGAAATATTATAGATTACGTAGAAAATGCAACACCTTTAAGTATATTGACATTTATGCCATTTTAGGTCATTGCCGCCCCTCTTCCCACTGGGAATTATTATACTGGAAATTTTTGACAGGGTTACACTTACCAGCCTGTCTAGTACAATCGGATCGCTTAAGGGGGCCGGGGGGGGGGGGGGGGTCTTCATCAAAATTCTCTCGAAATTGACTTTATAGTTGTTTCTGGTAGAGGGGAGTGATATATACCAGCTGCTTTTGGTCCCATGGAAAAATATTGTTCCTAGCCGAAATTATCGCTGGTCTAAGGTCAGCGCTTATGTGTAATTGTATTGCGCGAGCGATTTTCAATCGCAAATTCTGAAAATCGAGTCTAAAAATCTATCTTCTCCTACATTTTTTGAGCGATCACCCTGAAACTTTCAGGATATGTTCTAGGGACCATTTAGAAGATTTGATCTAGCCAAAATTTTGAGATAGGCCTTTAAAAATTTTTTATTCAATTTTGAAAATCTTGGACCTCGTTTTTTTACGATTTTTTCAGGTCCAAGATTTTCAAAATTGAATAAAAAATTTTTTAAAGGCCTATCTCAAAATTTTGGCTCGATTAAATCTTCTAAATGGTCCCTAGAACATATCCTGAAAGTTTCAGGGTGATTGCTCAAAAAATGTAGGAGAAGATAGATTTTTAGACTCGATTTTCAGAATTTGCGATTGAAAATCGCTCGCGCAATACAAAATATACACATAAGCGTTGACCTTAGACCGGCAATAATTTCGGCTAGGAACAATATTTTTCCATGGGACCAAAAGCAGCTGGTAGATATCACTCCCTTCTACCAGAAACAACTATAAAGTCAATTTCGAGAGAATTTTGATGAAGACCCCCCCCCCGGCCCCCTTAACTACCTCATTTCGCTTTGTCCATGGAAGGGGCTGTCCGTTAAACTGTCAAAAGCTTTTCTAATCTGGTTACAAAGCTGATCTAGTTCAGCTACCTACTTGAATCTATTCACGGTACCACTTTTGATCATGTTATTGTTAATTAATGGTCATCATGTGCAATTAATCAAGGGATTGTCGCCACAAAGAAGACTAAGAAAAACACTTATTCTAGGAACTTTCCCTTCTTTCTTGGAATTGAACTGCTCTTCGACCATTATCTGGCAGATCTCGCTCTCCTCTTCAAATAAATCAGGCCAAGACCCCGTACTCCCTTGATATTAATCTGTTTCGATTTATCATCACCGGGCTCCCATTTTGGAGTCATTGTCTTCCACGCTTTCAACCGCTCACAAATCATGGACCATAGTGCCTATTTCCCAATCATTTCATTGCTAATTACATAGATAGTGCCGACATGACCCGTTGCAGATCTTAAATGCGATTAATTAAATTAAGAAAATTTAAAGGACGAATTTTTTTCGAACTGAAAAAATGTGCCGAATTCAACGAATTTTTAACAAAATATTGCTGTACTACCCAACTATGACATTTCTTGTTAATCATCATTTCTTTTTCTTTTGATTTGAAAATTTGGTACACCTTTCGGACGTTTTTTGGACGGACGGACGTTAATATTGAATGGACATAATTATAAACGCTAGATTTTTGCTCTAAGTCTAACTTTCGTTAGATAGAAAATTATTGTTAATAGAAGGTTTCAAGGCTTTTCATGATCATTTTTCAGCACTCTCAACTACAAATTAACGTATACACGATATACTTTAGGACTCGACAAAATTTGCACAGACTTTGATTTGGTCGAAAATTGAATAAACAGACTTCATTTTAACGGACCATATTATGGACGCAAAGCCCAAAGGCCTCCACTCTCCAGCGTCAAAGCTGTGTCCGTTCAAATAAAGTCCGATAATGTCACAGAGGTATTTTATTCTTTGACGCAATGTGAGCTTTTGTTATTTGACACTGATCTCTAGTCGGTTGTTACTGGCGCATAATGACCTTTTTAAATCATTCGTCAACTGAAAAAAATGTCTACTCAATCTCTCCCCCAATATTTTCGCACTGGTGAAAACATAAATTGTTTTGACGTAATGACGAATGGCGAGGGAAGTCATGCATATCTTGAGAATCGCACGGTCACTGCACGGAGAGTAAAAAGTAATTTCAGGTATCATTCATTATTTATTTCTTGACACGGCAATCGGAAATTTGCAGAAACATGTCCCATTTCTTTTGATTCACTCGAGACTTTTAACTTTTAAACAATAACATGCTGTTAAGCACTGCACCTCTGTAAATCTAAAAAATACGGACATTATTCGTTGGAGGTGATACAACTGATTTGGTAATGACTCGGCTAAAAATCATGCTCTTATGAGGGATTAAAATAATCTTACGGGAACCCTAAGTTAATGCTACCGAATACCAATCAAGTCTTGTTAAGAAAACTGTGTTCATTGATCCCGATTCCCGATTGAAGATAATTGTGGCGACAAAAGTAGTCAATTCAGCCTCTTGAGTAGAATATCTGCACCTTACAGAATTATAACCGTCTCCTGGCAATATCCTCCCAACCCATGCAGCGTGCACTACACCATAGCAGAATAATCACTAATCCTCGATGCGCGCGTGTTGCCACGCGATCGCATGACGTCATCGCCAAAATAATACAAACGCTAATTACACGCGTTAGAGAGCAGTTAGAGATTTAGGAATTTCGACTCGTTGCTCAGTTTGCTATTTGTCACAATCTGTCAAAATATGAGGATAACTTTTTTTGAGTTAACTGGACCTTTAAGTCACGACTGATCACGCGAGCACATGGGCCAATAGCAGCTTTTCTAGTAGTGAAATTGTCCAATAAAATACAGATATATATTGACATTTGACAGGTTATTATCAAAAAGAACTCTCCGTGAATTATAAGCAGATCAGATTGACAAAATCATCAGATCAGTAGATCAGCTTGATAGTTAACGTTAACTTTAATCAACCTTAAAGTTTAAGGTTGATAAAAGTTCTTCAGCAGACGAATCTTAAATTAAATTAATTTCCATAATAAGACAGCTGGAGAGGCACCCGTTTTAATAAAATATTATACATATTATTATAATTTAATATATGACAGGTGTTCGCAGTATGGTAGGTTCATGTTACATTCTCCATTTTCTCTTATAAGCTAATAAAATATTTAATATAGGGACCTCCATCTAAATCTGTCTATTCTCTTGACAGTTTTGATACGCGACGTTGACTAGTAGCAAAATTACAACTAAAAGTTAACTTTATACTTTGTAAAATAACAAATTAAGTGTAGATTACCAGCGGCTATTAGTATTTAATATAAAGTTTGCATTTGATGGATAAATGTTTGAATCCATAATGATAAGAAACAAAATTATAAAATAACTTAGTTCTTCGATTTTGTTCTCGACAAGGGTGATCATTATGAACATGGGGCACCGAGTGGATCATTTGATATTGATAAGCCTAGCCTGTCAGCAAGCGAGTCCGAATATTTCCATTTGATTAGTAAACTGTGCTTGATGAAATGAGACATGAGGATGATTAGGAGTGAATCTAAGTTAAACATGTTATCAGGACCATGTTCTAACAGTCACTTAGGTTCGAACCCCACAGTGTCAGTACTTAATTTAGGTTCTCACATGACATATTAAATTTGATTTTGGGGTGGACCACTTAAGCTAACTTCTATTCACAACACTTTATCAAAGCAACCCAATTCTGAAAAAGGGTTGTAGTGAACAAGCTGCTCGATGAGAAACAAAAAACCAGCTAATGCAACGGTAACTCAGCTTAAACAATTTAAGTGCTGTACAGTATACTCGTCGTTTGGAGAGTTGCAATTGTTCCTAACCTGACATCAGTTGAGTGCTTTAATCTAGATTTAGGTGTGGTGAAAGGTGTTGAGCTACGTAACGGTTTGTGCCCGGGAATAAAAGCGTTGTTCACGTCATATTTATTGATTATTAAAGATTCGTCCTTGATCCTAAATGAGGATCAAGGGTAGGCCGTGAGAGCCAGGATATCAAATAAAAGAATAGACATCGTGTATGGAACTGTAATTTTGTCTATTGTTACTCAGACTTCTAGAGCACAGGGACTAGATTTATCTAAGAGCTCTTAAACTGTAGTCACGTGCCTGCGCGCGTACCACGTGCATGCGTGCGTGTCACGTGACAAACAACTCACCTTTTATATAGACAGCACAAGTATTTAGTATCTAGACACTTTTCACTCATATCTATGATTGTAAACCTTACACTTAGATAGGAGCATTCGTTGGGCCTGCTCAATGCTTATGTATTTTTTATAAACACCACCTGGATACTGCTAAGCGACGGGACAGAAAATAAGGAGTGGTCTTATTTTGATCCATCCCGCTGTTGTTGTCCACCTGTATAATCCCTGCAAACAGTTTTTATAATCCCACCCTTTATTCACTCAATACGGTGTGGTTTTTTAATGATATCTCGTCTATGACTTAGTATACTGCAAGCTGGTCTAATATGTCACGTGTTATAAGAACTATAGGATCTGCTTGGCACGTGTCAGACTTGCAGCCACTGGCAAATTTCCACCATTCTGCTTATAACAGACTTTATTTGACCAGTTTCAAAACCTGCCTTCTCTGTTAGTTCGTCTACTTTGATGCAGTTCTATAGAAGACGATATCGACTCCACCTGTTCTGCTAGCCCAAATGATCTCAAGACTCGACGCTCCTTTTTAATTCAACGTTCGGATTGAGGAACTACTTAACAATTGACATTTCAGGTCATTGCCTAGGGAAATTGATCGTTTAGTTGCGAAATTATTTGTCGTTCTAGAGCTAAATAGAGGTGCAATTTAAGTTTTGAAACAGATCAAATAGGACCTGAGAAAGCAGTGCACTTTGTAATAGGCTGCTGAACCTGTTGAGGGTAGGGATGGATCACAGCTCCTGAGTTGTCAGCTGTCACAAGTATCAAAACACTTGACCATTATTCTTCAAACTTTTTCATGGGAACCTATTGACCGATTGACGTCAGTCTGGCACCTAGATCCAAATACTTGATAACCGATTAGTGATTTAGCAACCGATTACCGATCTATCCTGTATCCACGAAGTAGTTAAAGATGGTGCTCTTAGTGTGACCAAGCTGAGTTTCTCGGAATGCGTCTATGAGATCATTGTAATGATCATTTTAAAAATGTAAAAATCAAGGAGGGAGGGATCTTAAATGTCTTAACCTTAACATGATCGTAATCCGAGCCCCAAATCTGACTCTTACCCTTACCCTCGCCAAAACCCTAGTTCTGACGCTACTGGGCTGGAAGCTCTGGGGCACAACGTGATTTGGCAGGGCGAAGGGTGTTCAAACTCAAAGTATTTCTAATAAAACAGCGCGAAAGTTTTAGTTACACGTGTTAGATGCTTTAATTACTCAACCTTAAAATTCAACAATATCATATATTACAAAGAATTTTTAATAAATAAAGTTACAGGGTATGAGTAGAATGTCTTGAATAGTTAAGTTTTGATTTAGTTCACAGCATTTGCTTCTTAATTTTTGAACTCGGTTCCGTTTGGTTTCGTTAGTTTCAAACAAGTGGATACTGTAAGTGAGTTATACTTTGGCAAGTGTTCTATAGATTCGTAATGTTGATATATTTTGCATGAAACACTAAAAATAAATAACATTTACAAAATATGACTTAGAATTACGTTACGGAGTAACTGTTTTCTTTTAAGTTTGGACATCTTCTTTGATCTGTTATATCAGAAAAGTCATGATTTCACCATATTGAGGATAATGGCGTTCCCGAGTACTTCTCTTTAGTTTAAATCATAATGTAGAGTTTTTGTGTCGTTTTGTTGTTACCGGGAAATATTAGCAGCCTTAGATAAGCTAATGAGACAGATAAGTATTAAGACTTACTGCACTTGTTTGTTCAACTCGTTCACTAAGTTGACATGTGTTTCCGCGTCAGACAGTGGGTTCCCCGTCTTTCCAGCTTCTGAGAATGATTAAATTAATTGTTGGAAGCCACAACTTACCGTCAAATATGTATAATCAGCTAGTAAAATGATAAAATTGCTAGCTTCTTATATACTAATTACCTAATAGTGCTATAATGAAGCACTTTAAAGGATCTGTAAGAAGCTGAAAAAGATTTCATACCAAAATTTAGTCCAGAAATCAGGAAGTATTATAAAATCAATTTATATTATCCAGGGGGTCATTTCCGAAAAAACGCTTAAGTGGCACTTAAGTGTATGGTCGACTTAAGTAGAATTAGTGAAAATGTTTCCGAAACTCTACTTATGTATTTCCCAAAGTTTACTTATTCTGTTTCAAGTTTGAGACTTAAGTACAAAAATGTACTTAAGTCGCGTTAAAAAATCAACTTAAGTGCAACTTAAGAACGTTAATCATTCAGAATGTTCAGCAACCAGAAGGTTCCTAAACTTTTCAGACAGATTCATGCACGTTCCTCAATGTCCCGGGCAGAATTATGCACGATCCTCAATGTTCCCAAATAAGTTCGATGGTTTAGTTTCCAATAAAAAATCGACAAAGTTCGTATCGATGGAGGCCATTCGGCTGATGTTGGCGAATGCAACGCGATATTGGCGTGTTTTATAAAAAAAAATTTTATATCTTTTATGCCTTATAATGGGTTATACTTTTGTTCACATTTGCTCACATCACTCACAGTCAGCCGCTCTGACATGGTCAACCACCTTCCTTATGTTGTTGGTTAATCATATGAGCGGGATATAAATACCTCATTTCATAATGGAATCAATATTTTCTAATTTTCAGTCCCAAATTTTTGCACGTTGCGAGCCATGCAAAACGTGGCCAGGTTGCAACAATATGAGCCTCTAGGTTTACTAATTACTACAAGAAATTAGGTTGTACCTAGTTCAAGTTACACTCATTTCACGTTACTCCTTGCAATGCTTTTACCTTTGCAGCTCGAGCATTTGATTAATTTGATTTACGATATCGTATATTTAGCAGAATGATGCAGTTTAATCGGAACGTTTATTTATTGTTATGTTCACGTGTTCGTAACCTTAAAGAGCCTCTGCGTTTAGCATGGGTGCATCTTTCAAGTCTAATGATCCGAGTTTAAGCTCTGCCACGTACCACTAGTAGGTCACATACCATTATACCATAGTTGTTTCATGTGATCGCTATGTCACGCACCAGATGATGTTCTCAAACATAAACTTGTAGCAACAGCTGTACATAGTTGAAGTATATAATGTAGAGTAGTGTTGCATCACAAAATTATGTATCATTTGTCTTCAATTTTATTCGAATTTCGGATCACTTTTTAGCATGACGTTTTTGTTATGTTTGAAACATCAGTTTTCAACGTCAACAAAATTAGCCTATAAATGCTTTTAATAGCACAATCAGTTGCAACGTTGATGCAGGTCGAAATAAGTTCGATAATTGAGTTCCCCAGAAAGCCACCAGGATCCATTCGAACCAATCGCCGGCCATCAGAAACCCCCTTTAAAACCGCAGGGGGGTCTTTATGAAATTTCTCTCGAAATTGATTTTATAGTTGTTTTTGATAGAGGGGAGTGATATCTATCAGCTGCTTTTGGTCCCATGGAAAAATATTGTTCCTAGCCGAAGTTATTGCCGGTCAAAAGTCAGCGCTCATTTCAGAGCGATTTTCAATCACGCGCCCTGAAAATTGAGTCTAAAAATCTATCTTCTCCTAAATTTTTAAAGTTTTAAGTAATCACCTTGAAACTTTAAGGATATGTTCTGAGGACCATTTAGAAGATTCAGTTCGATCAGAATTTTAAGATAAGCCTTAGAAAATTTTTAATTCGATTTTGAAAATCTTGGACTTGGAAAAATCGTCAAAAATTTAGGAGAATATAGATTTTTAGACTCGATTTTCAGGGCGCGCAATTGAAAATCGCTTGCGCAATACAATTACACATGAGCGTTGAACTTCAGAAGACGTTTCCCTGAATTTTGTAGGGGATTTTGTAGGGGATTTTGCGCGCTGCACATATGTTACAATATTTGTCATTGTAGAATCTGCGACGGTAGCCATCAGAAGTCTCACCAAACTGCTCGTATTTATAGACAATAAGATATGAATAAGTTAATAACACATCCAACCCCATGCCATTCAGGCCATTCCAAAATAGCCTGAAGTCCCAGTAAAATCAAGACTGAGAATCTTTACCCCTGTAGGGGATGTATGTTCCGGGGTATTTGGAACTATTTTACTAGTGTAAAAATGGGTAGTACCTGACCCGAACCATCAGAAAAATCAAGTTTCGACCTCCCAACCCACTCAGGCCACTCCAAGAGGCCACGCCCATCCCAAAATAGCTGAAATCCAGGTAAAATCAAGATTGAAAATCTTTACCCCTGTAGGGGATGTATGTTCCGGGTATTTGGAACTATTTTACTAGTGTAAAAATGGGTAGTACCTGACCCGAACCATCAGAAAAATCAAGTTTCGACCTCCCAACCCACTCAGGCCACTCCAAGAGGCCACGCCCATCCCAAAATAGCTGAAATCCAGGTAAAATCAAGATTGAAAATCTTTACCCCTGTAGGGGATGTATGTTCCGGGGTATTTGGAACTATTTTACTAGTGTAAAAATGGGTAGTACCTGACCCGAACCATCAGAAAAATCAAGTTTCGACCTCCAACCCACTCAGGCCACTCCAAGAGGCCACGCCCATCCCAAAATAGCTGAAATCCAGGTAAAATCAAGATTGAAAATCTTTACCCTGTAGGGGATGTATGTTCCGGGGTATTTGGAACTATTTTAGTGTAAAAATGGGTAGTACCTGACCCGAACCATCAGAAAAACCAAGTTTCGACCTCCCAACCCACTCAGGCCACTCCCAGGGGCCACACCCATCCCAAATTAGCTGAAATTCATTTTTCTCTATTTAATGCATTCAAAATTGCTAACAAGGTATCATCGGAAAGACTACAGTGACCTTTCCTAACACGGTGTCGACTGCATTCGGCGTCGCCACTCAAAAGTCCATAATTTGATCCGTGCCGAAGGATAAGGTCATTGTTTAAATATGGTCCCTCCTAGTGATATAACTGGTCCAATCAAAGGCAACTCACATCCCAAGGTATAGATAGTTGTTACTGCAGAGCAGAAATGGTTTTAAAGTAGTTGGATTTAATGGTTAATTCTGGCCCTTGTACACAACGTTTGACGTTTTCCTACAAATTGGTTAGAATTTTAAAATGGGACTTCTGTACCCAGAAGTTTGGGTCAGGTCCGAAAGCCTATCCCTGTACCATACAAGCCATGTCCGGCACCAGAAAGGCCGCCCTTGTTGAAACCATTAATGGCACTAAAATATTCAAAAGGTCTATGCTTAACGACCTTGAATTGAGTGATTCTAAGCACTTTTTCCTCAAAAACAGCGAGCTGAGTCTCTGGTTCTTAGTCCCGACGCATTTACCTATTTTTTTAAAAAAATTTACGGAAACGATCTTGTGAAATTGACATGATGAGATGTTACAACCGCGCAGATATGCGACATAGAACTAAATACAAGAATACGTGACGACGTGGCCGACCACATACTACATAACAGGAAAGTGGTAACAATCGTTACACATTGAAGGATCCAGGACACATCTCACTACATTTCAGATCTAGCTATAATTAAGTCCGGGTTATTAGCGAATAATATTTTACCAGGTAAAAATGGGATAGATATCACTACCCCCTATTAGAAACAACTATAAACTCCAATTTCGAGAGAAATCCAAAGACCACGCCCTCCCCTAAAATGCAAAATAGTCAAAATAGATCAAAAACTCTTTATGAGGATGTCACTTTGTTTTGGAAAATAGGAAGAAAATGCGAGTACGAACGAATTTTAGACATAAACAAGTTGCGTCTGCAAATCATCATGTCACAACTCAGGGAAATCCAAATAATTCCTCCTTTGTCTCCATTTCATCAAGCCTGCGCTCGTAGAGAGTAGCAGAATTAGAATTGATGGATCATGGAAGGCACCCACGTGAATTGAACGTGTCCATTATTGGAGGAAACCGATCATGTGCTTAACAATGTATCATCGAGAAAGATCTACAGTGACCTATTTCCCTACCTACGGTGTCGAACTGCATTTTCTGGCGTCGCCACACTAAAAATCCATATATTTTGAATCCGTGCAAGGAATAAAAGTCATTTTGTTTAAGATGATTGGTTCCCTTGAGTGAATATAACTGCGACCAATCAAAGCAAACCATCATCCAATAAGAGTATAGTATAGTTTGTTACTGCAGAGCAGAAATGGGTTTTAAGTAGTTGGCGCATTTAATGGTTATTTCTGCCCTTGCAGCAACAACAGTTTTGACGTTTTCTGACAAATTTGTTAGAATTTTTAAAATTCTGACTTCTTCAACCCAGATTTTTTGGGTAAGAACTATCCCTGATAACCATTACAACCAATTTCCGGCACCAGAATCCCCCTTTTGAAACCAATTAAAATGACAAAATATGTCATAAATGTGTCTTAAGTGCTTTAAAACCTTGAATTTGAGTGATTTTTAAGCACTTTTTTTCTTCAAAAAAACAGCAGAGTTGAGTCTTGATTTTAGTCCCATCGCCATTTCCTATTTTTTAAAAAATTTGTGAACGACTCTTGTGAATCTGACATAATTGTAGATGTTTACAACCGCGCAGGTGTCGCTATAAATCTATAAACAAGAATCACGTGACCACGTGACCCACCCACGTGACCCACTAACGGAGAATAGTTGGTAACAAATCGTTAGCACCAATGAAAAGTGTCAGTGACACTAATCTCAGTTACAGTTTTCAGATCTAGCTATAATTAAAGTCGCTTATTAGACGAATAATATTTTTCCATGGGACTAAAAGCAGGTGATAGATATCACTCCCCTCTATTAGAAACAACTATAAAATCAATTTCGAGAGAAATTTCATAAAGACCCCCTGCCCCCTTAAATGCCAAAATAGTCAAAAATGTATCAAAAACCTCGGATTTTTGAGTGTCACTTTTGTTTGAAAAAGGAAGAAAATGCGATGGAACGAATTTTATGAGACAGTAAATTTTAGTAAGCGGTTTGCAAATCACGATGTTCACAAATAGGAAATTCAAATAGGAAATAGGAAAACGTACTATTTTACGATCTTTTTAGCTCATGTATGATGTAGAAATGAATGCAAGTTTCCCTCGAAGTCAATTTTTTCTAAAATTCAACTTACCTCTTGATGGCAGATCGTTTAAACCGGCTTTTTCTGAGCTTGCAGAATCGGTCGACTGAAAATATAGTCGCATTTTTGACAACATTTTTTTCCAAAATCGATCATTATTTTGAAGCACAATCCTTAGAATAAGTAAGGGATGATTTATAAGTATTACATATTATGTATAAACTCTCCCTGAACAGCTTTACTAAGGATTATGCTATAAACAGTCCCCTTATTATCTCAGTTGAGTTACCATTTTAATCACTGGAAGTTTAGCTGAAATTAAAAGTCCATGATACTATTTTAGAGTTTCGAATATCGACAGTCTAAGCATGGACAATTCACCAAGGACCGCTTTACTAGCAACACCGTAATCATTGGTAATGCTGTTTTAGTCGGCCGAACATGCACATTGCACAGGCAATCAGATTTTTTGGCGATACGATTTTTTGGCGATACGGAGTCGATTAAACAAGCTGACGAGAATCATTAAAATCATTATTGAACTCGCACGACTGCACAAAACGACAATTGTCCTTCATTGCGACAGTGATAACAATCAATTTTACAATACATTAAGCCTCCGCCCTCCAGTGCTTCAGCTTGTTTCGATATTGATAGACATTAGAGTACATTAGAGTACATTAGAGTACATTAGAGTACATTAGTTAAACACTCACATGTCTAGAGAGTATCTCGTCCATGGTGCTGCTCTGGATATTCTCATCCTCCCCCAGTACAAAGAGGTTCTTCTCACCCTCCACCTCAGTGATGTGAGGTTTATCCTCTGTTGAAATAGTTTCCTGTGACACGTGCTCCACTCCTCCGGACACTAGGTGCATGTTTATGTTATTGTGACGTCATATGGTGTGGTAAACCTAATAATAAACTTAAAGGACATCGAAAAATTCAATAATTTTGATTTGACTTGGAAGTGCGCGGATTGCGGAATGTGTGCACGCGTTGTTGGTGAGAGATAGTGGGGGGGGGGAGGGGGGAGGGGGTAATGAGTGAACACCGGCCACCCAGCACTCACTCCCGAGAGCGTTGGGACGCAGGTCTTGGCCAGGTGGGTTTAAATATGCAACAGCTTAATACTTATTTCATAATTAAACATGGATCATAGTTGTATAATTATATACATGTTTATATGTTAAGAGTACACAAATTATACGCACATCTGGTCAATGAACTCGTGTCGCATGATCACGAGTTCGCGTACCACTGTGATTACTCGACACGTACGGAAACATATTAGGCAAAGTACTTACGTTGGTTTGACGGAGAGGCAGTGTCCCCACTTGCAGTTGTACCCTGAAACATATTATAGATTATGTTTGTGATATTGTTGAATTTTGTTTTGGTAGTATTGGCAGTATTGGCACGTGCACAATGAGTAATATGCACATGCAAGTCACGTGCACAATTTGGACTGTGTAGATTAAAGGGGTCGTAATACTACGTTAGTATTATCGACATGTGCTCTTGCAACAGCCGTTGAACCATCGTTACATGTTTTAAATTGATCTTCTAAAGAAGAACAGAGAACACCGGTGACCGGTGTGGTTGAAGAGCTAAGAGTTCGCGTACATATTAATGTTTAAAATAATAACATTTCGTCCATTTACGAAGCGATGTTTATTGTTAATGAATTAGGTCTTTATAGGAAATAGCAGGAACCCATATAACCCAATGTGCTGTAAAAAACGACAATATTTATTTAGTTCGCGATTTTAAAACCACTTCTTGGTTCAAATTTTGGGACCTAAACTTCTTATTCCTTTGCCAACTTTTTATTTTTTCATACTATATAGTAAAAAGGCCATAAAAGCATTCGATCCAGCCAAAAAGGTTTCGATGATATATTTAAGCTATATTCTATCACTACACGGTTTTTGCGGAAAGTCGTGTTAACGTTGATGTCAGTTAATGGCAACAGATATAAATATATCTTCTCGCTTTATAATTACTAGCAGGAACCAGTATCAAGGATGGTAAATGCGTTTTGGGGAGACTACGCGTAGGTACTACGCATACGTATTTCCCGATGATAAATTACGTATTTCAAATTAAGTTGCAGTAACGCGCGAACATCTATATATAAATATTACATTACAGTACATGGAATCGTGGCCTAATTGGTTAATACGCTAGCTCCATATCAGCATATTGCGAGTTCGAGACTCGGATAGGATAATTTTTTCCCATACTTTTTGGCAATTATGAATAACTAATGAATAACTAAAAATACCTCTGTAATATAACTAGCAAGGTGAAATGAAATCGTCATCCGGCCGAAAAATTTATTATAGCCGTTTTAAAAGTTTATTATAGCCGTTTTTTCTTTCCAGGCTGGATTCCTAGTCACTTTTTAAACTTATGCCACTGGGAAGTCCGTGTTAATCCGGTAACCGGTTTCAAAATTCAAGCAAGAGAGACTTGTGATCTTAGTCTGCGAATATTGTAATAGATAAAAATGCACTGGAACTGGGTCTCGGTTGAAAGTCTATTCCTCGAGGGAGGCATAACTGCTTTATAACCTGAGAAGCTCTGCTCTGCAGCAGACTGACTGATTGGTTGGTTCAGCATAAGAATAGCAAGTCGCTGCAGCGTTTTCATTCGAGCACCGTGAAGTCTCCAAAACGACTGTCAGTATTGCTATATTAATATTATATATATATATACCACTGGGCCAGCGACGCACGCGCAAATATCAGTAATCTGTAATCACGTATTTCGAAAGAGATACGCGCGTATTTTGAAAAATTTTACCATCAAAGAATTTAAACGCCAAATTTTGCCGTATTTCACGTATTTCTTAGAATTTTTGAATACGGCGTATATTTACCATCGATGACCAGTATAACCCTAAAATGATGTCTCAAGGACCTAAAATAATTATTACCTATTTAATTAGCGTTTTTTACACCGCTTGGGGGTCCAAATTTTGGGCTCTAAAACCCCTATTCCTTGGCCAATTTTTATTTTTTCATGCTGATTTGGAGGCCATTAACGCATTTGACCCAGTCAAAAAGGTTTCAGTTGTATATCTTTTACGGTTTTTGCGGAAAGTCGCGTTAAAGTTGATGCCGTGGTGTCAGTAAAATGGTACGGATAAACACATCCATCCATATATATCGTCTCGCTTTATATATAGTAAGATATGTAGTAAGAAATGATAGCCTTACCGTAGTTACAAATTCTTTATTAAGTTTTTTTTCATACAATCTCTCGAATGGTTAAAGATTTAAAATGGTTAACAGTTATCGCACTTTTGGCTTTGCTTCACGTAGCGATTTCATTACAGTCAGATCCAATATCATTATTAGACTAGTGCGAGCAGACAATGGTCCTTCATAGCCTAACTGAAATATACGTAAAACATACTTTGTAGTCTAGACAATTAATAAGCTATATTGGAATTGTGCGTGACTGGAAGTGGTTACAAAGGATCAAGGAGATGAAATTGCAAAAAATGAGATTGCATATAAGCGCGATACACCGTGGTCGTCGCTGAATCATGTCCTTTATCATCACTATTTGGAGACAAATAGAGTGATGATAAGTAGCCTACAGCCTGCACGTGTGAAAATTTCACATACTGACCAAACTTTTTAACTAAAAAAGAAGGGCATTATTGAACAAAAATAAGGGCATTTTCTACTTTTCTAGTCCACCGGCCATCATGAAGAGTAGGGCCTGAGCCACCGTCCAACAGGCCACGACTCTTTTCTGCATATTTCAGCTTTCCATCCTGCCGTAGGATAGCTGCAGCCTGACAAAATTTTATTGTCAGAAGGATAGCAGTGGCGTATAGTTCGCAGAGGACGAACAATTTCTGAGAGATTTGATCGCACTATGAGCATTTTAATTTTGCTCAACAGGCGTTTGCCAGGGCCGACAATTCTGACCAATAGCAAGAATGGCAGCTGCTCTTTAATTCGGATCGGGTAAATATTAATCAATCTTAGTCATTCTTCCTTTATTAGTCTCCTGAGTGCCACAATATTCGTTAATATAATAATACTGCATGTCCACAATTTCCCCGCAATTATAAAATGATAATACGCTATTTGTATTTATATTATTGGTGTCTAGACTTACAATAAACTTACTATCCCTAAATCCAGACAAAAATATTTTTGTCTAGGCCCCTCACAAGAGCACAAGGCAACACGCAGCCAGGTTATTTTAAATAGCAGTAAAATACTTTGTCTGGTGTTTATCGTTGCCCATCTTGGTTGTATCAATTCAATATTAGCTTATTGTTTGCAGATAAACCAACAAAGTAACAACACTGACGATACTATTGTGCGTGGGTTTGAGTTGGTGACTATAAATAGTGCTACAACAATAGTGCTTGAGTTATTACTAATCGGGGGTCATTAGGAATCTGTACCCGGGCGGCGTTATCATCTTCAAAACTTTCTGGTCGCTTTGTAAATTCTATGTACATTTTAGTTTGTATTAAGCATTTCGAAGGGCGTTTTGTCACTGTGCAAATGTCATGAATGTATCAGAATTTTTACCTTGAAGGGTCAAAGTCGGTTTGTGGCAATTAAAGGTATGTTATTCACACATTTTTGCAAATAACTAACGAAAATTATTTTAGGTACGAGGTAAATTTTAGTTAATACTAGATTTCTGTCTAGAAACGTTATTCAATTGAAATTTCATTAATAATGGCTTACTATATTAACATTTAGCTATTTTTGTTGTTCTATGTTTACTAAAGTTCTCTGCGTTGTGCAATTAATCTAACTGAATAAATAATAAGATAACTACTACTTGATTTTTTGTCAGTAAACGTGCTCGGCTATGTTTAAAAGTTTAAACTACTAGCACGAACTGACGAGATAACCGCTAGTTTAACATGTTACTTTGTGTATAATTATATATTTATGTTAAATCAAATCTACGCATTTGTGTTCAAATGTTTGTTCCTCGACCAAAATCTTGGATTTTTTAAATTTTTTAATCTCAACTCTTATTTTACTTCGGACATTCCAACAACCACATTGTTACACAAGTGTGTAACCAGCCAATTACAGGAAGCCGAATGATTCAATTATACATTAGGCCAGTGACGGTTAAGGTAGTGTGTACCATACTTTCTTCGCCCGAGACTTTGCTGCAATGGGCAGCTCCTCATTTAACCCTCACACCCGATTTCTCGAGTATTTGGCTGAGTGGACCGGGGGGCTGCATAGACCACTCAGGATCCTTAGCTGAGCGTCGACGACGCTCACCCCACGGCTAGTGGCAGAGTCGGGAATCGAACCTTGGTAGCTTGTGGTATGTCAGCGAATGTTTCAATGTTAGATACCCATTACCTGTTTATGTGAGATTATCGTATTGAAAGTTGTAACACAATGAAAGACGTGGAAGCTTATCCCCAGATCAGTAACATAACAATGTTTTATGCATGAGCATTGCAAGCATATATTTCCTGTTTCAATGTGGCAACCGTTGCTAACTATCATAAACTGTAGATGAAAACAAAAGCCATTGGAATTGCATCATTCGAAAAGCTATGGAGTGTTTTAACCCCAGTCAGACCGTCGATACGACCTTGATCGTGAGAGAGCTGGATCTTTGGTTTTATTTCTAGATCACACTCTACAATCAAGTTAACAGCAAGGCACAGTGATTTCTTGGCATGTTATTTTTGATAATACTCCAACTTGTTTCTGCTTCCAAAGCAGGGCAATTAGTGTCCTCTAACAGGTGCTTGTTGAATATGATGCTATCAATTTTAGAAAAATCTGTATATATATATGAAAAATCTGCCTAATTTTGGTTTGTGACTTTGATGTCCAAATAAGCGACTTTGCAGTTCACTGAATATATTTTTATAATATAAATTACATTAAATTTTATGTCAAGTGAATATCCGGCCAAATTCTTGGAAAGATACTTATTACTTAAGCCCCACTGCACAGTGGTGTATATCCAATTCTATAAATAACGAGAACTATTCAAGATGCCCGCCACGATAGCGTAATTCCACTATCTCCATTCTCGATGTGGAATATGGACGTGGCGCAGTGCGTGCCGTTTGTTAATATTCATATAAGGACACGTTCATTGAAGTTTGAGGATATTGGTAAATATTAGTGACCCTACTAAATGGCACGATGATGTAAAATGTGTCACACTATAAAACTATATAAACCCTCAATGGTTAGGATAATCGTTTCATCCTCTAGATAAACTTTGTCGCATAACGATATCTTTATCAGACGATAAGATATCGCTTAAATGCGGCCGGCAGTGAGTTGTAAACTTTGTCACACTATAAAAATGTGACAGAG